CTAAATCTAACCCACTACACCACTACCACCTCCACTTCACCTACTCCTTACCTACTATACACTCACCCTCTTCTATATATAGGAATCATGAATCATTGTAATAAATAGAACATTATATCAATCAATAATACATCAGTTTTTCTTACATAGACTCAAATCCATTAACCTTTGAGGAGGCTATGAAGTCTCAAGACGTTGCTTTCTGGAAAGAAGTAATAAACGATGAGATGGATTCTATCATGGGTAACCTATGAAGCATGGACACGCGACACGCGACACGACACAGACACAGGGACATGTAAATTTTCAAAAAATGGGGGACACGACACGCTGAGGACACATTCAATATATATAATTAAATTTATTTATTATGTCATAAAATTATAAAAAAAATCATTAAAAGATAATAAAAAATACAAAATAACACTACTAAAATTATAAAAAATAAACATTTAAAAATACAAATAATATAAAATTGCATTTCATCAATATAAAAAAAAAATTAAAAAAGTTCAAAATATAAGAGAGAGACAACTGATGATTTACACTGACCATATAAAAGGGAAAAAAAAAGAAAAAACAAAATAAAAGCTCAAATCAGAGGAGAGAGAGAGAGAGAGAGAGAGAGAAGATCGGAGAAGAAGAAGAAGAAGAAGAAGAAGAAGAAGAAGAAGTGTACCTTAGATAACTGCAACAGCAGCGAGCAACGACCATCGAGGAGCGACGAAAGACCACCGACGACCAAGTTTCTCTCTGTTCTCTCTCTCTTCTATTCTCTCTATCGATTTAGGGTTAGATATTGTTTGGTTTGTGTTTTTTACAAATTGACCCCATAGAAGTTTCATAAATTATGAAATTAACCCCCGAACATGTCCCAATTGTGTTCGCTACGTGTCCACTACGTGTTCGACTACCAAAAAATCAAAAAAAAATTCGGACACTCTCTGCTGCGTGTCGGACACGTGTCCACCGCGTGTCGGATGCATGTCCGTGTCCGACATGTGTTTGACACTGATACGCAGTTCTCATACAGGTGTCCGTGCTTCATAGTGGGTAACAATACCTGGATACTTGCTGATTTGCCACCTGGATCCAAACCAATTGGTTGTAAATGGATTTTCAAAAGAAAAATGAAAGTTGATGGCATAATTGACAAGTTCAAAGCAAGATTAGTTGCTAAGAGTTTTACTCAAAAGGAGGGTATCGATTATTTTGATACATATGCTCTGGTGGCTAGAATTGCCACCATTCAAGTGTTAATTGCCTTAGCCTCAATCTACAAGCTTGAAATCCATCAAATGGATGTTAAGACTGTTTTCCTGAATGGAGAGTTAGATGAGGAAATCTACATGCAACAACCGGAATGATTTGTTGTACAGGGTCAAGAACACAGAGTGTGAAAACTCATGAAGTCACAATATGGACTGAAACAAGCTTCAAAACGGTGGCATGAAAAAGTTGACAAAGTAATAGTGTCAAATGGTTTTAGGATACATGAATCTGATAAGTGTGTGTACAATAAGTTTATTGACAATAGAGGTGTAATCATATGCCCATATGTAGATGACATGCTTATTTTTGGTACTGACAATGATGTCATTGAAAGTACTAAAAGTTTATTGTCATCTAGCTTTAGTATGAAAGACATGGGCTTGGCTGATATAATTCTAGGTATCAAGATCAAGCGAGAGGACAATAATTTGATTCTTATCCAGTTGCACTATATTGAGAAAATTTTAAGAAATTTAATCAATATAATTGTACACCTATGTCTAAACTTTTTTATTCAAATTTGAAATTGTATCCTAATGTTGGAAGAGCTGTTGATCAGCTAGAATACTCAAGAGTGATAGGTAGCCTGATGTATGCCATGACTTGCACTAGACCTGATATTGCATTTGCAGTGAGAAAACTTAATAGATACACTAGTAATCCCAGTAGTGTGCACTAGCATGCTGTTAACCGTATACTTAGGTATTTGAGAAAAACGATAGACTACGGAATAATCTATAATGGCTATCTAGCAGTGCTGAAAGGATTCACGAATGCTAGTTGGATAACTGACTGTGAAGATCACTCGTCCACGAGTGGTTGAATTTTTACTCTTGGAGGAGGAGCTATCTCTTTTGGTTCCAAGAAGCAAACATGCATAACAGACTCAACCATGGCCTCAAGGTTTGTAGCATTGGCTTCTTGTAGCAAATAGGTAGAGTGGCTAAGGAATCTCTTGTTAGAGGTTAAGATATGGCCAAAACCTATGCCACCATTATCTTTGCATTGTGATAGTGAAACAACTCTATCACGGGCCTATAGCCATGTATATAATGGAAAGTCCACGTATATAGGACTGAGACATAACTATGTCAGGTAGTTAATCACAGAAGGTATGATTACCATTAGTTATGTAAAGTCAAGTGAAAACTTGGCTGACCCCTTAACAAAGGGACTTGCAAGGGATTTGGTATGGAAAACATCAAAGGAGATGGGTCTTAAGCCCACTTAACATAATCACTCCCGGTGGAAACTCGACTCAACGCTTGAAGAAACATTAAGTCTTGAGTTCAATATGCCCAAGTACACCATATGTCGTGATTGCAAGCACTTATTTTTATTTTATTTTCATCCCAAGGTTGAAGTGCTTGGTACCTGTAATATGAAAAGAAAATGATGACTTACCAAACTCTTAATAAGCTTATAACTGGGTTGTTAGGGTACTCTCAATAAGCTTACCTATGTGAGTGTAGGAGGTGGTGCCGTTTCCTATGAGTCCAAGGGCTTGAGTCTAGAGCGCTTATGAAACAGGATATAGACACAAGGCCAATCCACGTGTCGGTTTGTTTGAATACTTGAGGTAACATGTACTGTGCGTGAGACATGTCTGGTTAGTCATATAAGATCGCTAGTTCAAAGACAAGTCTACTATGCCATCTTGACTAACTTTAAGGTGTCTTCACCAAGTGAATTATTCAAATCGTAAGATATCTTCACCTATGCATAAGGTTGCCAAGTGAACCAAGAGTCATCATCTGGTATTTTGAAAACGGTGGGGGAATGTTGGGGAATTTTCAAAATGGGTTTCAAAATTTAAGTTTAGTTTTTGGGTGTTTTCAAAACCTTCTTTGTTTTTCCTTGGAAAGTTTGAAATAAACTTGGAGACTTTGTCCCACATTGGAAAGAGAGCAAAACATGGAGCACTTAATAAAGTGCTACATGGAATATTCTTTTGAATATGGTATTGTGGGATGGATGCTAGTGTACATGCACACACACCGCAAGCACCATCTTCACACGCACACCTACACGCGCGCGCGCGTGGCGTGGGCAGTGTGGGCTGTGTGGCGTTTGATGGCGCACTTTGCACTTAGCACTTAGCACTTAGCACGGACGCATTGGTGAAAGGCGCCATGAGGGTGCTTTCCTATTTGCATCGGACAGGTTGGAGCAATGACGTGGATCCAACGTGGCATAGGTGATATGGAATACAGTCAGCTCCACGTGACAGTGATGTGGTGTCTGTTGGCGATGAGGCAACCAACCGATCAAACGGTTGCGTGTCCAATCTGGAGTGGTTTGATCATAGCCGTTGATTGAAGATGCTTGTGATCGTACAGATGAGATGGCACCCAATCGTGATCAGGTATGATCAGTCAAGGCATCTATTCGGTGTGAGAATGATCTGCACCATAAATCGTCGATCCCATGGTCAAATCTGATCGGATGTGATCAAGGGACATGACCATTCGATCAGATGCATCAAGGCCTATAAATAGGTTGCGAAATCAGCCATTTCAATCATCCAAAATTCAAAAAGCATTCCTACAATTCTCTCTCTCTCTCTCTCTTTCTTGATTTAGAGTTTTCGATCGAGAGTTTCGTAAGCAAGTTTCTGTTTTTTTTACCGGTAATCAAATTTTGCGGACTTGATTATTAGTGTATTGGTTTTCTTGATTATATCAAGAGTATTTTGATCTATTGTCGTCAGTGCAGACGCCGGTAGATTTGATCTTTAGATCATGCATTCATTGTATTCTGGAGGCGAATTTGCTATAACCTCCTGTACACTTTTTGGTGGGTGCAAATATTATCTTTAGGAAAGTGGCTGAGTAATGTGACTTGAAGCACCAAATTTCTGTTCTACATAGACTAGATCATCGCTAAGTTTTGAAGACCCGAAGACCACCAACTGAAGAATTCAAGACGAATTGTTCCAACAGGTTGCCTATGCACTACCTTTGATTGCTTATCCAACTCTTCTTGTGGGTCTTGAGCTTCATCGAAATGGAATAGAATGAAATCATGGATGCAATAGATGAATTATGAAATCCAGATAAACAATACCCCTCCCATTTCCCACATTGAAGTGAATAAAAGAACTAAACTGAGACAACCCTTGACAAATGAATTTCGAAGGAGATCTAGAATTCCCCAATGTTATCTATTTCGGGCACTATTACATGGACTCTTCTATTTGTCCACAATACCCATGTCAACGAGATATGACATGGGTGAAGGTGTGTCTGACACCCATACTCAATTTAGACATTTGGATCCTTTCATTTTATTTGATGTTTGAAGAAAAGCAGCTCATATTTGCTAGTAACATGAATGTGAGAGAGAAATTATATATTTCTTGCAAATCTTATTTGATTTTAAGTACATTTTTAAATAATTTACTTATCTAGGAATATTATATAATGTACAATATATAACTGTGCAAGACAGGTCCCCATACCCATACCTAATTTGTGGATACGTATCCCAATGATCCTAAAATTTAAGTTTAGGAAAGTAAGACTGTTGACACGTACTTGCACCTGATACTCATATCTGAGTCCATATAACATAGATCTCGGGTGATTTATTTTTCGTTTTTTTTTTTTTTTTCCTGCAAAATGAGAGTGTTGTGAAATATAGCCTAGGCTTTGCACTATGCATGTTATAAATAGAGGTTTAGATGTAAAGAGTCTAACAACCCTCACTGCCATCTTATGATTGAGCAGGATGCTTTGCCAACATTTCCAGATGCAGAGGCATTTTCTTGCATTGAGAGAGAGTTGGGAATCTCACTTGACTCCATCTACTCATCGATATCTCCTTCTCCAATTGCTGCAGCCAGTCTAGGCCAAGTTTACAAAGCTCAGCTGAAGTATTCTGGTCAGATTGTTGCTGTGAAGGTGCAACGACCTGGTATTGAAGAAGCTATAGGACTTGACTTTTATCTGATAAGAGGTCTAGGATTCCTCATAAACAAATATGTTGACATAATATCCAGTGATGTTGTTGCCCTTATTGATGAATTTGCTCGCAGAGTTTATCAAGAGCTCAATTATGTGCAGGTTAGTTTTGCCATTAGTGTTTATACACTACCATCTCAACTCTCAAGCATGCATGTCGGCCTCTGATTTTATCCAGGTGTAATATTTCTGTGACTTGAGTGAAGGAGAAAAAATACAGTTTTGGTAATTTATAAAATATTCTTCTAGGTTTGAATGTTAATTTTGACAGGTCTATGCAGGAGGGGCAGAATGCAAGGAGGTTTAAAAAGTTGTATGCTGATAAAGAAGAAGTCCTTGTCCCAGATATTTTCTGGGACTACACCAGTGGGAAAGTATTGACAATGGAGTGGGTTGAAGGTGTCAAATTAAATGAGCAAGATGCCATTGAGAGACAAGGGTTGAATGTTTTGGATCTGGTGAACACAGGTATTCAGTGTAGTCTGAGACAGCTGCTTGAGTATGGATATTTTCATGCAGATCCTCATCCTGGAAACCTTTTGGCAACACCCGAGGGAAAGCTTGCTTTTCTTGATTTTGGAATGATGAGTGAAACCCCAGAAGAAGCAAGATCTGCTATCATTGGTCATGTTGTTCACATGGTTAATCGGGATTATGAAGCTATGGCTCGTGATTACTACGCTCTAGATTTCTTGTCCCCAGATGTAGATGTTTCCCCAATTGTACCAGCACTTCAAAACTTCTTTGATGATGCACTTAATTCAACTGTGAGCGAACTCAACTTTAAAACACTAGTGGATGGTCTGGGTGCTGTTCTGTACCAATATCCATTCAATGGTAAGCTCCCAGTGTCTTATTTTATCAATGACTTTCACATTCTTCTCACCTGATTTGTGCTGTCTTAGTCTGCAAGTGGCTATGGCAAACTCAGCCAACTGTATTATTTTTTGATTGCCAGTAGGAATTCACAGAGCAACTCTTTTTTTTTTTTCCTTTTTTTTTTTTTTTTTTTTTTTTTTTTGTCTTTCTTTCTTTCTTTTTCTTTTATAATTGAGGCAAATGTAGTAGATAACTACAGTTTTCACAGTACTAATGGTCACTCCTTTGGCTGATCAAATGCCTGCAGTCCCAGCTTATTATGCATTGATATTGAGGTCGCTTACCGTTCTAGAAGGTTTAGCCCTATATGCTGACCCTAATTTTAAAGTACTGGCTGCTTCATATCCTTATTTTGCGAAAAGGCTTCTCACAGATCCAAATCCATATCTGAGAGATGCTCTTATTGAGTTGCTTTTTAAAGATGGCAAGTTCAGGCATGTGTTTACTGCTGTCCTAATTTTATATTTCTTCCATTTGGATTGAGGAATTTGATTCTGTTTAGTGCTATAGCTCTTACTATTGCTCTGGTACAGGTGGAATAGACTTGAAAATCTACTTGTTCAAGGGAAAAAGGATAGGGATTTCTCTGCAAAAGATGCTTTACAACCTGTCCTGAAGCTATTGTTGGGTCCAAATGGCAAAGAGCTCAGGGCTTTAGTCATCAAAGAAGCTGTCCGTGTTACTGAAGCTGTTATTTTAGGCTCTGTGATTGATACTTACAATTCTGTTCCCAGTCCTATGAGGACTCTTATGTTCAATGCCAATTCCACTGGGCCTCTTATAATGAGTGATGCTGAACAAAGCAACATTATGGAGCTTAGGGCACAAGTGTTTAGGATATGGGGGCTTCTGCGATCCTCAGAGAATTTTGATCCTACTGTTTTGCAGCCTATTTTGCAGGTGAGAACTACTTTTCAATATTTCCCCTTTTCTCTTTGTTTTATATTATTTTTAGTTTTGAGTGGACATGACATGATTATTTTATTCTGTAAGTTAAAACCATTGTGCTTGTACTACTCTAGTAACAAGAGTTGACATTATCAGCGTTAAAAGCGTAAAAGAAAATTTTCTGTGGTTCTAGGAGTGAGAAAATGACCTCAGTTTAGTTTCTAAAAAACTCCAGTAAGGCCATCGAATTTGTTTTGGGATTATTGCTGAAAAAGTGCATCTTTAATATTGTGAACAAGGTTGTTAAAGTTGGGATCCTAGGTAGGATCGTTGGGAAGGACTTGTGGATCGGATCGTAGAATCGGATCGAGGATTATAAGATTCTACTGTTAAAACCTATCACCTACTTCACCCACTTAAACCTACTCCACTAAACCTAACCCACTACACCACTACCACCTCCACTTCACCTACTCCTTACCTACTACACACTCACCCTCTTCTATATATAGAAATCATGAATCATTGTAATAAAATCAACATATAAATCAATAATACAATCATTTCTCTTTATACATTAAATTTCTACATGGTATCAGAGCACCTACTCCACTAAACCTAACCCACTACACCACTACCACCTCACCTACTCCACTAAACCTAACCCACTACACCACTACCACCTCACCTACTCCACTAAACCTAACCCACTACACCACTACCACCTCACCTACTCCACTAAACCTAACCCACTACACCACTACCACCTCACCTACTCCACTAAACCTAACCCACTACACCACTACCACCTCACCTACTCCACTAAACCTAACCCACTACACCACTACCACCTCACCTACTCCACTAAACCTAACCCACTACACCACTACCACCTCACCTACTCCACTAAACCTAACCCACTACACCACTACCACCTCACCTACTCCACTAAACCTAACCCACTACACCACTACCACCTCACCTACTCCACTAAACCTAACCCACTACACCACTACCACCTCACCTACTCCACTAAACCTAACCCACTACACCACTACCACCTCACCTACTCCACTAAACCTAACCCACTACACCACTACCACCTCACCTACTCCACTAAACCTAACCCACTACACCACTACCACCTCACCTACTCCACTAAACCTAACCCACTACACCACTACCACCTCACCTACTCCACTAAACCTAACCCACTACACCACTACCACCTCACCTACTCCACTAAACCTAACCCACTACACCACTACCACCTCACCTACTCCACTAAACCTAACCCACTACACCACTACCACCTCACCTACTCCACTAAACCTAACCCACTACACCACTACCACCTCACCTACTCCACTAAACCTAACCCACTACACCACTACCACCTCACCTACTCCACTAAACCTAACCCACTACACCACTACCACCTCACCTACTCCACTAAACCTAACCCACTACACCACTACCACCTCACCTACTCCACTAAACCTAACCCACTACACCACTACCACCTCACCTACTCCACTAAACCTAACCCACTACACCACTACCACCTCACCTACTCCACTAAACCTAACCCACTACACCACTACCACCTCACCTACTCCACTAAACCTAACCCACTACACCACTACCACCTCACCTACTCCACTAAACCTAACCCACTACACCACTACCACCTCACCTACTCCACTAAACCTAACCCACTACACCACTACCACCTCACCTACTCCACTAAACCTAACCCACTACACCACTACCACCTCACCTACTCCACTAAACCTAACCCACTACACCACTACCACCTCACCTACTCCACTAAACCTAACCCACTACACCACTACCACCTCACCTACTCCACTAAACCTAACCCACTACACCACTACCACCTCACCTACTCCACTAAACCTAACCCACTACACCACTACCACCTCACCTACTCCACTAAACCTAACCCACTACACCACTACCACCTCACCTACTCCACTAAACCTAACCCACTACACCACTACCACCTCACCTACTCCACTAAACCTAACCCACTACACCACTACCACCTCACCTACTCCACTAAACCTAACCCACTACACCACTACCACCTCACCTACTCCACTAAACCTAACCCACTACACCACTACCACCTCACCTACTCCACTAAACCTAACCCACTACACCACTACCACCTCACCTACTCCACTAAACCTAACCCACTACACCACTACCACCTCACCTACTCCACTAAACCTAACCCACTACACCACTACCACCTCACCTACTCCACTAAACCTAACCCACTACACCACTACCACCTCACCTACTCCACTAAACCTAACCCACTACACCACTACCACCTCACCTACTCCACTAAACCTAACCCACTACACCACTACCACCTCACCTACTCCACTAAACCTAACCCACTACACCACTACCACCTCACCTACTCCACTAAACCTAACCCACTACACCACTACCACCTCACCTACTCCACTAAACCTAACCCACTACACCACTACCACCTCACCTACTCCACTAAACCTAACCCACTACACCACTACCACCTCACCTACTCCACTAAACCTAACCCACTACACCACTACCACCTCACCTACTCCACTAAACCTAACCCACTACACCACTACCACCTCACCTACTCCACTAAACCTAACCCACTACACCACTACCACCTCACCTACTCCACTAAACCTAACCCACTACACCACTACCACCTCACCTACTCCACTAAACCTAACCCACTACACCACTACCACCTCACCTACTCCACTAAACCTAACCCACTACACCACTACCACCTCACCTACTCCACTAAACCTAACCCACTACACCACTACCACCTCACCTACTCCACTAAACCTAACCCACTACACCACTACCACCTCCACTTCACCTACTCCTTACCTACTACACACTCACCCTCTTCTATATATAGGAATCATGAATCATTGTAATAAAATCAACATATAAATCAATAATACAATCATTTCTCTTTATACATTAAATTTCTACAACTTTCAATGTAAAATAAAACGAAAAAAATATCCATAATGATAATGTATCTTAAATAATTTGAAATTCATTAAAGAAAAATGATAAATTTGATGTAATGCATCTTTTATGTCAACATAAATTAGAGGAGATGTTTGGAGAAATAGTTTATAGTCAAATTTCTTATATAAATATACAAATATACATGCATATATAAGAAATAAATAACAAGAATTTTTTTTTAGTAGGATTGGGATAGTAATAGAATCGGGATCGTAGTGCAATTCTATACGATTTTATGACTAGGATCATAGTTACTTTAAGCTCCTACTGAATTTAAGAACCTATTGCGATCCAGATCGTTTACCCTAACTATAATCGTAGGATCTTAAGATCCTACGATCCGGATCAAGATTCTGATAACCATGATTGTGAATTGATATTAAACTATATTTTACTATTGTTTGTTATTTCTATGCTTCTAAATCTATAACAAAAATAAGTAAAGGCCTCTTTGCTACAACTATAAGCTTGTGTTATCCCTTGTCTTGTGCCTTTTGTCATGCCTCACCTTTCACTTTTCTCATAGAAAATACTTTAGTATCGATCTCTATATAAATTGATGAGGAATTCAAATTGCCAAATTCCGATTGGAGATTTAAAATTTTAATCTACTAGGGGTTGAGATTTAACAAGTACCATTGCTTTTCCTCTTCTCAATGATGTATTGTGTTTGGTTATAGTGGTCTTCCATCTTATTCATGAAAGTCTCTTCAAACTTGTGCTCTAGCTAAATGTTATATGTTCATCACTAGTTTGATCCCACTATTCCTTCTCCTAATGCTAGGTATCTTTTGGACATTTTCTCATTTTTTTCCTTCTAGTCTTGTCTTTGTTAGTAGAGTAACTAATTTATTTATTATATTATGCTTGTGGGACGGGTGTTCTATAAGGTGTTGAAATTTGTTGATGCCATTTAAGATCAATGAGGGGATGGAGTGTGCAAAATGATTAGCTGGAGTTTTTATATGTTAATGCCTCTCAAAAAGAGGAATCTATTGATCATTTATTCTTGCATTGTCCAAATACTTAGCTGGAGTTTCTAATATTTTGCTTTATAAAAGGACACATCATATAACACTATTTATTGCATGAAATTTAAATAGAATATATATATATATATATATATATAAATTTGTGTTAATACTTGCAAAAGCATACTCAACTTGAGAGAAAGAGATGAGGTAGAATTTTAATTGCCATGAGATTGAACCAATAGGGTCAAATTGAACTAGACTCCAAGCTTTGTCGAGTCTTTCACATGGGACTTTCGTGAACAGTTTGTCTCAACCCAACAGATTGTTCTCTCCACCCAAAGACTCCATCACCTACCACCCGTCACAGCCAACTACCACCTATTATCACTGCCCTTATTGCAGCCAATCACCACCCATTATGACGGCCACCCATCGCAGTCAACCACCACCAATTATCTTGGATTGATCTGGCGATGCAGCAGAAGGGCTTCGCCAAGGAAATCATACTGTGAGACCCATTGCTTGCAGATGATGAAGATGCCACTGATCTGTTTGGACAGAGGGACTAGGGATTTGATTTTGATATTGGGGGCCTTTCATTTCATAAAGATGCCACAAGAATGCGCTGTGGGAGGTCATGAACACAAGAATTCAAGCACTCCATCTAGATTGTGGTGTATATTTTTTGGAGTCCGTTGTGGGTATTGGTGGTCGGATTAGGAGTTGGTTAATTGGGGAAATTATTACTCTCCTTGGAAATTCATTTCTCAATTCCTTTTTCAGTTTTCTCGACATGTTTGTCTCATTGTGGGTGGTGGGCGAATGCTTGTTTTGCGAGTTTATGGGTGTTACGATTGAAGAGGAATGCAAGAATTTTTTGAAGAAAAGTTAGTAGATTGTGGGAGTTTATGGCATAAAATATGTTATTTGAGTTCTTTTTGGGTTTCAACATCATCTTCCTATTAAGTCACCAATTTTTCCAAAAGTCTAAGCTGTTAGGAAACGGGCCCAACAAAACTATATAACACCCTCCCTCACGTGCAATCCCGTTTTGCATGTGGAGATACAAATAGAGAACCCAATAGAAGGAGAAGCAAACAACCAAAAAGAGAGAAATAAACCAAACGAAGACCGAATACCAAATGCCCATGGAAAGATTTGAACCCAAGATCTCTCTTAATTTGAGCTTTGATACCATATTAAGTCACCATTTTTTCCAAAAGCCTAAACTGTTAGGAAATAGGCCCAACAATTTATATCAAGCCATCTAACACTTCCTTCGAGGGAATTCCTTTATTTTTAGGTAGTAGTGATTTTATATGTGGGATGTAGCTTTGGTTTTTTTCTTTTCTTTTTTCTTTTGCTAGTGGACTCCTTGTCCCCTGATTTCTCATTGTACTCTTTCTGTATTTTATCTTTCTTAGGGGTTGCTTGGGATAATCTAAATAAGTGTACTTTTTGACTTTTTATGAAATATGGGTTGGGTTTGGGTTAGGTTTGAAGTGATGTGTTAGAGAGGTGATGTGACTTAAATAAGATGATGTGACTTAAATAGGATAGTGACTTTTTGACTTTTTGTCTTTTTCAAGACATGCCAAACTTGGCTTTAATATTGTCTTTGTTGCTGTTCTAAAAAATAAAATAAAATTAGTGGTGTACAAAAACAGCAACGCACTTTTCATTGAAGTAAAAACAAACACTGAATTTGCATTGAAGGCAAAATTCATTTTACCTCCTGTCGTATGACTTGATAGCACTTTACCTCCGTATCGTTTAAAGATAGCCATATGCCCCCAATATGGTTTTGGACTAAAATGCAACCACTAATACCATTAACTATAGGTATAAAATGACTATAATACCCTTAAACCTTATATTTTTTGTTATTTTCTTACTCTCTCATCTTTCGTACACATAATTTATAATGTTTAGTGTTAATTCAATTAAATCACAATTAATTATAAATTCTTAATTATTTATTGTAATTCTTAAATTTTTATTCTAAGTTTAATTTAATTATATTTTAGATCACAATTAGTCCTAAATATTTAACTATTTATTGTAATTACTAACTTTTTAATCTAATTTTAATTTAATTATATTTTAGATCACAATTAATCCTAAATTCTTAATTATTTATTATAATTTCTAACATGTTAATCTAATTTTAATTTAATTACATTTTAGATCAATTCTTAATTATTGTTTATTTTATATTTTATTTAATTAAGTTTTAAATCAATTCTTCATTATATTTTAATTTTATTTATTTTATTTTATTTTAATTAACATATTAATTTAATTTTAGGTTTGGAGAAAATGGGGGTAAAATTGTTATTTTGTTGTATTAATTGCATTCTAATTTTTCAGAAAACAAAACCCACTCTAAAAAAAGGTGTGTAATATATATTCTGTTAATTTGGATGAAAAAACTAACGGTAGCACTTTAGTCCAAAATCACATGAGGACTTTCTGGTTATATTTGAACGATAAGGGGATAAAGTGCTCCAGTCCCAAACCACAAGGGGTTAAAATGAATTTAGCCCTTATATTTATTTATCAAGCTAACTGGAGAAACATACATGAGCAGGTCCTTCAAGAACCGGAGGCACGCAGTCTTGGGGGCCGTGTTATCGGTGGAATCACTCAACGTCTGGCAGCACGCTTACTGCAACAAGTTCTTCGAGTTCCAACAACACCTACTTCAACTTCATGAGCATTGTTAACAGCTTTTGAGTATGCTAATACACATGATATATTTAGAAAGATACTGAACATAAAAAGATACAAAAAGAAAAAAATTGGGTGGGGGGGCGCGTTCAGTCATCTGTGGAAGTTGAGCATGCAACACTCTTTTCCATAGCTTTGAAATGATTCAATCTTCTTGGTCTTCACAGCATTAAATTATGCAATCAAGTCCTTTTATTTCCATAGGATATCTGGAAGAGTGGAATTCAGGAAGTTTTTATCAGAAATTTCTATCCCATGGGTCATTGGCTCATTGCTCATTGCTCATTACCTTTCAATGAACCTCTTTAACTCATTTTATACAGTCAGCTAACAACGCAGCAATATGTTTTTACAATTTATTAAATGTGATATGTAGCATGGAACTGAGCCATGCTTGATGATGCCTTCCTATTTATTACCGACCTGGAAGAAACCATACATGGAAATTGGCCTAGTTAAGAATGGGAATCAAACTGTAGCCTCTGGTTTAGGATGCATTTGTCTGAATGGGTTTTAAGCAGGTAACATTTCCACCTTCAAATGCCTTCTAAATGTTGCTTATGTTTGGGGAGTTGGTTGAATTCCTATCAACCTAATTAGCAGTAATATGAAGGGAGCATGTTAAGTGATTATATCTTTGCACTTTGATGTAGTCATTTCAGAGTAGTCTTCTAGAATGCATAATCAGATTGAATATAGCATGTTTTCTTCCAAATTAATATCTTTATGTATTATAGATGTAATAATTATTGAAAGAGGAAAGTAAGAAATGGTAAATACCATGATAACATATTGGACAATGGTAGAAAGAATAAGAATCATACCCTTCAACACTTCCCTTAAGCTAGATAGGTATAGGCATAGTTGCACCCCGTATACAAATTTGTTATAGTTAATTGTATTCCGTGAGAGGGAGGGTATTAGTGGTAATTTCTCAAAATTTGTGGGAGATACAGTGTACTATAGTGCAATTTTTCAGTTTTTGGTTAGGTCCACCAATTTTATTGATGATGTCAATAGGTTGTCATAGTAATTTCTGATTTAGATTACCAATTTTATTGCTGATTATCATATCTATATTGCTTAGCCAAAAAAGAAAAGGAAAAAAAAATGTTGTTCCTCAACATTTTTAAGTCCCGTCATGGAATATAGGGTTACTTGCAATGTACAACTCATACTCATTGTTAAACATTCTCTTGGTTGAAGTGATTAAATTGATAGGAAATGTTTGTATTTAAAACCACACTCAAAGATAGGGCATTCCCATTTCTTGATCAATCCCTTCTGAATTTGTTCATTTGGAATCTTGCTCTTCTACTTCATTGTTATTATTTGTTTATTGCATATTAAAAAATATTAACCCAGGTGTAAAGGGAACCATTCTACCTGTTGAGTTCGTGAGCCTATATGATGAAAACTAATTTGTGCTCCATTAATGCAATGTGTATATGTCTGTCTAGTGCCATTGGTTATGCTAACTAAAACTGGGGTTGTTAAAGCGAACTCCACCCTGGTGGAATCATATGTTGTTCAATGTATGATTTACTAGCTCCTGTATTTATCATGGCATTTATACTAAGAGTTTTTTCTGCAAATTTAATTACACGATATTTCAACTAAATTTAGCTTGGGTATGACAGGGTAATTAAATGGTAGATATGCGTTATCTGACTGTGCTTGGGAATATTGACTAAAGGGTTGAGAATCAACTAGGTTGACTAATTCTAAGGAGTGCATATGTTTTTCAACAAGTTTATCTTTTAAAGGATATTTAGTATGAAATTGTTCTAACTGTTGTTTAAGCTGTCTATTTTCTGATACTAAAAAAAAAGAGAAAAAGTTAGCCTTAGTTTCTATCTCACGTATTTGTAGTTTAAGTTCTCTTACCTGTATCTCTAATTCTCTAATTGTTAAGTGTAATTCTTTGTTTTCTATACTATGATCTTCTCGCATCTCATTGTTATTTTCTAACGTTATCTCCTGTGTCATATTTAATTTTTCTAGACATACTATACAATAGGTTATACTGCATAATAAACATTGAGCTCTCTTATTTTTAGCGGGAAATCAATTACAATAACTGCATCTAGTGATATCAAATCCTAGTCCAATCCTAAAGTTATGCTGGCATTCAGTATTTGGATTGCATTCCATCATGGGAAGAAGATATTCCTATTTCTTGGTTAAGTTGTCCTAAAAGATTGTCTATATCGGTATCGCTTTTTGAATCATTATCTGAATTTATGACTTCTATTTGGTATCCATAATCACTGACTATGCTATAGATTTCTGAATCATCACTGTTTTTGCTAACTATATCTTCTTCTAAATCTTCTATAATATGTGGTCTTTCTATCTATTTATTAGTATTAGGCTTATGTCTTTTTGGGCAGTTTTTTGCAAAATGATTGGATTTTCCACATATAAAACAATTTCATTTTTTACTACTAGGTTTTCTAATATATCTTTGTTTTCTTTTATCTTTCTCTTTCTTAGGTAGTTGTTTGTAATTTATTCTATTAAAAGTTTTACTTTTTCTAATGAATTTTTGTTTTCTCCACGGTTTTCTATAGTTTCTCTTCCAATATTTTTCCTTTCTATATTTTCATATTTTCTATATTTTTTCTTATTATATTTATTTTCATATTGCTGAGGAGTATATATTATGCTACTACAAAAACTATAGTTTCGTTTTTTCAAATCTTTCTGTATTTTGACTTCTATACATTTTTCTCTAAGCCTTTGGAATGTAAAAACTATTCTAAGTCCTATTCCTAAAGCCCCTCTTATATTTACTTCTCCTGAGGCTATTCTTGCTAGTAAGTTTGCATAATAAATTGATCATTTATTTTCTCTCTCTCTTTCTAATTCTCTTGGTAATTTCCTAAAATATTTATTTCCTATTTCTTCATCAAAATTTTTTCTAGGTCTAGCTGCTATGGCTAATTATTCTTTGCTAAAAGGTACAATATATTTCCAACTTCCTAATGTTATCTGATCTAACTCGGTTAATACTATACTTTGAGTATAATCATTTCTTCTAGAATGGTCGTATCCAATAAACAATTCTTTTCTAAAACTAGTAAAATTTCATGGGTTATCTCCTAATCCTTTAAGTTGTCTAATAGTCTCTTCATATTTTCTTTTAAAAGTTAAATATATATTGAAAGCTGAATCTCCTAAAAGTGTTTCCATATATTCCCACATATCGTTTGATTCAAAGGGATTGTTCATCCATGCCTTTGCCGCATCTTTTTCCCATTCTTCTATCACTTCTTGCCATATCTGAGGGTTGAATGTAGCTAAGTCTAAAAGGGTTTCTTGGTTGGTTGTTGGCTGTAATTGTATACTCATATCTGATTGTCTACGCTTTCCATGAAACTTATACTTTTTATTAGGATCTACTTTACAACGTCCTATATTGAATAGTGGTCTCCTTCCTCCTACGTCATATTGCATTGATTCTACTGGTTCTCCTACCGTGCGCTGTGGATTGCTAGTTACTGTGCTTTCTATTGCTTGAATGTTCATATAAAAAGTGTCTTCTACGTTAAACTGTTTTGGTATTTTAAATATTTTACTTGGATATATTTTATCTTCTAAAATATCATTTACATATTCGGTATGAAATTCTTGGTCTAAAAATGACACTGCCTCATCATGGGTTATCTCCTCTAGCTATATATGCATAGTATTTGGTATCTAATATTTTATTCATATCACTAAAAGTAAAATTTTCCAAATCTATCTCATCGATATTATATATTTTATTTTGTGATATTGTTTTTTCTTTTGTCATTACATAAAATTGATTTATGTCACTATGATTATCTTGATTTTCTTTTCTATCTATATTACTAAATTCATGATCTTCGGATTTTTCTAGTGCTACATATGTATATTGAGTAAATCTTACTACATAACTTCTGTCTGCTTTTTGGTATAATAAATTATCTTGAGGGGCTAACCTATTTTGTCCTAGGAAACCTTCTAAATTCCAATCTAGTGATGTATTATATTCATAATTATATTTTTTTAGTTGGTAGTGCCTTTTTTCCTTTTGCGCCTAATATCTTTACTATTTGATCATTTGTAAGTCTATAATGGGTATTACTTTTTGTGACTACTAAGCCTAAAAGCCCTGTGCAAACTAATAAATTCTTTTTTCCTTTTTTCATTTTATAGCCTCTACTTTTTATTATTTTTTATCTTTTTATGAAAGGTCGAGGTTGGTAAAAGGAAATCTGGTATAAAATAAACTATTCCTCCTTTTGAATTCATACCTAATTCATAGCTACCTAAAATACTTGTCCTACATCATTAAACTTATCATCATAAAGACATACAAAAACTTTAGCTCCTAAATTTTCTCTAGTTAAAGCCTTAACTCCTATCACAACTAATCTTAAGAGAGTCATTTTGAGGTGTTCATTTATTGCATATTTATAACTTTATTTATTTATTAAATTTAGCTCTATTTTTTCATCTTCTTGAGTTACACTAATCATTTGTTCACAATAGTGTTTAAAAAAATACTGCTTTTTATGAATTTTTCCTAACTTATATACATACTTAGCTGGAATTAACTATAGTTTTTCCTTTTTAAATTTTTCTATTTGTTGTTCTACATCTATAAATTCTTCTAATTTAACATCTTCATCCTTATTACGCTTTTTACTACTACTTTCTTTTACTAACTGTTTAAACATTTTTTTTTTATTTACTATAAGTTCTACAAACAGGTTTCTTTGGTAATTTAAGCTTTTCAAAATATTTAGCTATATCTTCTTCGTTTATTAGAGTCTAGGCTTTACTTGCTTGCCCTTCTACTCTTTTTCCTTTTTGAAGTACTAATCTTTCTAACAAAACTAAACGATTTTCTAAACTGTGTAGTTGTTCTAATAATTCTTCAAATTTTTCACACAACCAGATAAGAAATAAAATTTCTATATTATTTTGTCTCACAAATATTTTATTTGACTGATTTATTCATTGATAGCTACTAATTCCCTCTAGATTATTATGAAAGCCTTCTACTTGTTTTAAAATGACCTGGTAATCTCTATTAGCTTTTTTATCGTTACTCATAAATTAAGATCTTATTAGCTATTGTAAAATTTCTAATTTTTGTTTTAAATTATCTTGAATTTGGTTGATTTGTTCCATTTGTCTAACTATTTGGTCTATCTGCTTATGAATTTTTTCAATTAGTTGCTTAAATTCTAACTCTATTTGCTTCGTGCTACTAATATTTATGGCTGAAATTAGAGTTTTTATTTCTAGCTTAGTGGGGAATTTTTCTAGATTTAAATCTATTTGTTTTTGTAGTATTGAGCTACACTAGTCTTAGATATAATCTAATTTTTTTATCTTGATCTTTAATTATACTGCGAGTATTACG